CAGCCTGAGCCTTCCCTCAATCTTTGCCTGCCAGGTTTGCACAGACTACTCTATGCCAACCTTGCAGTCTGCAAGCTAAAGGGAGGTGAGCTCTCCACATGGAGGGCAGGACTTGGGGACAGTAGTTGCCCTCCTCCACCCAAGCCCCAGAGGTGACAGGATGATATGATCCCAGCACACCTTGGGCAAGGTTTTGGTGGCTTAAGCTTAAGCTATTTCAGTATCTTTGAGAAGCATGTGGGATGTGCGTCAATTCCAAGGAGGCAAGGGATTGAAGCCTCGCTGAAGCCGGCTTCAAACTGCTGCCTCACCGCTCGCTCATCAAATACGATCCAAGGATTTGCGTATGTGAAGCCTGTTGAAGCCGACCTCCAACTCATGGACCCACAAGTCAAAGATTGGGGACTTCAGTTTCGGCCCCTAGGGTACGTGCAATTGAAGCCTCTTGAAGTGGGCCTTAAACTGCTGTCTCACGAGCCTCATCAACACCGTCCAGTGTTGGGTATTTGCGTTTGAAGCCTTGTTGAAAAAGCCAGCCTCAAGGCCTGTTTCTGCATCCTTTTTTTGGAGGAGGCAACGATTTGAAGCCTCGTTGAAGCCGGCTTCAAAATGCTGTTTAGGCCTCAACAAATACAGTCTAGCATTGTGGGGATTTGCGTATGAAGCCTTGTTGAAGCCGGCCTCCAACTCACGGCCCCATAGGCTTCAAAGCTTGGGGAACTCAGTCGGGGCCGCTAGGAGATGTGCATTTGAAGCCTCTTGCAGCCGGCTTCAAACTGCCACCTCGCAGGCCTCATCGACACCTTTCATACTGGGGATTTGCGTTTGAAGCCTGGCTGCAGCGGGCTTCAAACCCCCGCCGCATAGGCTTCAAACGCTCCCTCGTATCGGCTTCAGCTTCGGCCCAAGTTTGGTATCCTCACACCGTGCGAAGAAGGTCCCGCGCGGATTTGAACCGCGATCGCTGGATTCAGAGTCCAGAGTGCTAACCGTTACACCACGGGACCAGTTGATTCGAAGCTTGGAGAAGCTTCCAAGACAAATCTCAACTCTCTTTTTTTTCAGCCGAGCACCCTCCACTTCACTCCTTCAACGCTTGAGGCTTGCTTCCTTTCTGAACACGGTTGTGCTGAGACGGCACTTTGCGAAAAGAAGCTGCCTCAGGGTGTGAGGTTTTCTTTCTGAAAATCTTTGCTCTGAGGTGGAATTTTGCGAAACATTTTCGACATTGGTTGCAGCTTCCTGCCTAGAATTNNTTCTTTGTTCTGGCCTGGAACTTGCTCGAATCAAACCCTCCTCAAAGTGCAGCGCTTCAACATTTTTTTGGGTGATTAGCTGCGGCCCGAAGAACGTAGCTTTGCTTCTTGATGGAAAGCACCCTGTCGCATTCCAAATAAGATGCATCAGCCGGGAATCGAACCCGGGTCACATCGATGGCAACGATGTATTCTACCACTAGACCACTGATGCTTCTGGGAAAGCTCTCAACGCCATGTTCAGCTTCGCTTGCTGAGAGAACGACTCTGGTTCAAGCAGACATGATCGCGACTAGCCATCCGGAAGGCCTCCTTAGGCCTCCTTCTCGAGTTCTTCCTCGTGGCCAGTCCAATCTCCACATGCTTCCACCGTAAAGGAAGGAGCAAAGCGAAGCCGACCGGTAAGGTGTTGTCGCTGCTGTGAAGTTTGTCTATCGAGCTTCGCAAAATGTGCCGAGACCCGGGATCGAGCCGGGGACCTTCAGATCTTCAGTCTGACGCTCTCCCAACTGAGCTATCGCGGCTCTAGTTGCATAGTCAGGCCAAGTCTTCTCCCGTGACTGCAACGGCGCACGCCGAACATGTTCAACGCAGGGCCACACTAAGTCTCTTCTTGCGTGCTTGGCAGCTTCCTGAGCTCTTTGCCAAGTGTTCCCGCAAAGACACCACGGTGCATCTGGACAAAAGTTGGGTTGGTCAGCAACGGCCACGAGTGCTGCCTTTGATTTTCTCTGTGGTGGCTCATGCTGTGGTCCACAGTGTCACTTCTGTAGAAATTATGCTATCACACTCACGTCTTGTCTGCACCAAAGGATATAGTTTGTCTCTTCCTCCTATAAAAA